GAATTTTAATTTATAACTGGAAGCAGGTTATTAACGACTTTGACAATTTCCAATGCTTTTTGAAACGATATTAATAAAAAATCATCTTTTTAGCTTTCCATAGTAGACTCAAATGTACTAGATATAGTGTCTCTCTTCAAATGAAATGTTGACAAGAGCTATATGTTCCCTAGGTATAGAAACTGGTAGATCATTCCAGTCTATATCTATTTGGTAAGTTCCATTATGCTCTCTTTAGAGGCATTTTTGGCTCCTTGTCAAAAATCCTTGTTCTGTTCCCATTATAAATCCAAATAAATTTAAGCTTCTTATCAGTGATGAAGTGGTTTTAATATAAAGTCCTCTTGAAGGCTTAACAGTTTATTTTCTTATGAATAGCATTTGAACTCATTGTGTTTGGAGTTCTTAGAGGGAATTACCTTTATTATTTAAAATAGCTATTTTGACCTTAATCTAATATTATTTCTATGTTATTTAAGTTTAATTGTGTGTCTTTTCCCATGGTGGCATGATTTATGACAGGGTAGGATAAAGGACATAAAGATTTCCCAAGGACTTTAAAAATACCCACCGCTGGCCTTCTCCTGTCTAGTTAATGCTTCATTAGCAAATCATATTGTTTTCTTCTTATATTCATTTTCCTCCTAGTCTTCAAAATAATTTTAAATGGAAAATTAAAATAAAACCATCATACATACATATCTTAAATTTGCTTCAAAATTCTGGTATATTTACATTTATTTATCAAATTTTGATCATATTTTTATCCTACTAAAACGTATCTAAAAGACTTTCCACAGTATATTTCTAAAGTATATTTCTAAATTATATTTATTCATCCAGTAATCATTTATTGAGCACTGCTTTTACAAAACTGAAAAATATCAACACCTAAAACCACAAAGGGTTAATGAGTTACTGGAGGATGGAATTGGAAGGGGAGAAGTAAGGACTAATACAAATCAATAAGGGAAAAATAAAAGTATAAACAAAGCTCTGGGAATCAGAGGGAGTAGCAATTAATTAAAGTTCTTGGGACTTTTAAACATACATACATATACATACATATATACACACATATATATATGTTGATTTCAGAGAAAAAGGGAGAGGGAAAGAGTGATAGAAACATCAATGATGAGAGAGAATCATTGATCGGCTGCCTCCTGCACGCCCCCTACTGGGGATTGAGCCTGCAACCTGGGCATGTGTCCTTGACCAAAATCGAACCTGTGACCCTTCGGTCCACAGGCCTTTGCTCTATCCACTGAGCCAAACCAGCTAGGGCTCTTATGCCGTTTTGCCAGAGGACATAGTGTTTTATATGAGCCTTGAAGGATGAGAATATATTAACAAGTAGAAAAAAAGGAGGAGATGCAAAGGAAATGGAATAGCATGAGTGAGAAAAGTATAGGTTGATGGTTATGAAATTGATATAGCTACTACTTTTAATCATATGATCTATTTACCCAATATGCTCAGCACTAACTCTAGCTAGTGAAGTTACTCTTTTTGGTCACATGATTTTATTTACCCAGCATTGTCAATTTTAACTCCAAATCCGTTGGAACTATCAGGTTAATTTCAAAGAGCCCCATAGTGGTAACATTGTATAAATGTATAAACAAAATGTGTAAAAAGTGATCACCCATAGAACTTTTCACCTTTCCAGTGGTAGAAATGATCTCAATGAAATGATCACGTTTGACTGATCTATACATGTTGATAAATTAAAGGAGTGATTAATTTCCAACCATTTATCTAATAAAAATGTCGAGGATTTGCTTAATGAAAATATTGAAATTATAGAGAAGCAAAATTCTTGTCACAGTCATGTAAATAGGAGAAAATAGGGAGAACACCCGTAAGAAAGACTCCAACCGTAAGGGAAGTGCTGTATGTGGCTATGCACACAAATCTTGATGGAACATAGGAACAGGAGCCAGCTAACCTCCTTGAATGAAGCATTATTTCTGAGTAGCAGTTTGAAGGGGAACCTCATGGTTTGGCAGGACACACAAAATAATATCTCGGAGTTCATTTTCTGGGAAAGACATTTTTTTTTCATTATGTATATATTGTGGGTTTTGCTAGCCCATAGAAACATCTAGGTTTACGCTCTTTCCAAGGTTGAAAAGTATGATTATCCTTTCTAAACATATTGCTCTTATTTCTTGCAAATCCTTATGCAATAGTCTTCTTTAACAGAATGAAATTTTTTGCTTTAGAAACAGAGAAAAGGAGAATTCTACATGAAAGAAAGAAAACCTTTGGTTAATAGTTCTGAGTCTTCTTTGGTATAGAATAATATGAATATTAATTAAAATGCTTAAAAATAATTCTGACCTTAAAAGCTATAGTTGGGGTTGAAAAGTCAAGTAAAGTTTTTAAATCAAATTTTCTATTATGTTTTATAACTATCATGTTAGGCCAATGCTTTTTTTATGGAGAGTTCTTTAAATGGTTAATAATTTTTATTTTTTCTATTTTTTCAGTATATTAACATTTATACTTCCTTTCTAAGTGCTTAGGCGTATCATTTTCTTATGTTTTCTGTACCTTCCTAGTTAGTGGAAACATTGTTTGTTCTTGGAGTGTGCTTTGTCTTCCTTTTCAAGAAGATCATCAAAGTTACTAGTTTGCTGCTTCCAAAAAGAAAGAGCCTTCTAATCCCTAGTTCAGAGGCTAACCTTTATTAGCACTCTCGTGGTTATAATGAGGACCCTGCTTCCAGCAGGGAGATTCTGGAATACTGAACAGATTATTCAACAAGTTCAGAGCAGATTCTGAAGTCCCTTATAAAACCTGCTTGTGAATACTGCTTTCTTTGCTTTACTGTTTCTGGTTTCCACAGTATTCCTAATTATATAAATCATGTGGAGCATGGGAGCTATTTTCCATCCAATATCAATTCTGACACAGCTTGCATTTTGATATGATTTGTGTGGTGTGTTTTTTTCTAAGCTGTATTCTTTTTTCTTAAATTCTTATGGAGGTTTCAAACTCTGAAAAAAAGCAGTTTTGTGTTAGAAGACCTATGAAATTTTTCTTTGGAATCCCCTGGTCTGACATAAAGAATTTGAAAGTCTTTTGACACAGGCATAGATGAATAAGGCTAAAAGGGTAGAGAATCTGATAAAATTTTCTCAGGTTTAAATTCAAGATTAAATCTAGGATGTAAATTACTCAAGTTTATTATCTATTTCTTAACTTGTTTAACTTAATTAACAGCTACTCATGTATGCCTTTCCATGCTCAAAACTGTGCTATGTTCAATGACTGTACCAATTAAAAGTATACAAATTAAAATCTAATAATACACAGTAATATATGAATGTGTAGCAGTTAACTAAAAGCACTGATAATTCTGAGGCTAGGTTTCTTTAGGAAAAATTGTAATCAAGATGGGTTTATATTATACATTTTTTTGAAAGATTAAAGAGTTATGATCCTGAAAATAAGTTTCTCTTTTACTTTTTATTTCTTGTCTAATATGTGTGATCTTATATATTTTTAAAAAGTTTGAGGTGTTTGTTTTGATAAAATTTATAGAGAAATTCAGTTGCTCTAAGAGTATAAGGTGGTTTCAATATGTGGATTTTAGGAATTTCTTGTTAGACTGGGTAAGTGAATTTCATGCTCATATCTGAAGATGTCTAAATAGTCAGTGGGACATAATTTCCTTTTAACTTTATTTATAGTAGTTTTAGAAAAATCTTAAACTCTATTTCCAATGTTCTTCTTAGTGTTGAATGTATCAGAAAGAATTTAAATTGTACCTTGGTAGAGAGTTGCAGAACTTAGTGCCATCAAATGCAGAACTTTTTTACTAAGAGCAAAATTCAGCGGAATACCAGTAGCAAAGGCCATTTGCATAACTCAGTTGCTCAGCAGCTCAGCTGAACCTAATTGTAATTCAATTTCCAGATTGCTAGCTCAGCCTCTCTGCATAAAATATGCAACATATAACATAACCAATGGCATGGACCTGTCTTCTTTGCTGATGATCCATTCAAATTCTTTTTGAGTAAAAACATGTATCAGAATAAGGAAGCCAAGCTATATAGTTATTTGATATGTTTATGTTGTGTTACATGTATACACCAGTAAAGTTCAAGTAAAAGAAAAAATATATATGTATTTCTCTAGGTTCCCAAGTGTGCCTAAAATATTTTTTTTATTTCTTTATTTCTGCTTTTCTAGAGGGAAATTAAATCCTGAAAAATGTTATCTAGCTGCCATGTTATTTGACTATTTCACACTAGAAAGACTTCATAAGCTAATCGTGTGAAAAAGTGTATAAACATGTCTGTTATGTCCTTATGGATGTTGCAATACAGACCCCCAAGTAAATATCTTCTGTTTACAAAGCGCATACTGGAATAGCTTTCCCAAATCTTTCACCAGCTTATAGCCCCCAAACTTAAAAACAAAACGGTATGATAAACTGCTTGCTTAAGAGTCTCCCTTTAACTTTTAAACAGCCTTGCCACCCTGTTTTATGGGTTATTTAAGCAACAGCAACGGAGAGTTGAGTAGGGTGTCTGATAAAGGTATATTTTATGAATAATTTCCAGATGTGATGTTTTAGGGATATAGACTCCTCTACGGGAAGCTATACACAGAAACAACATGGATCTTACCATTTTATCAGGACAATGCAAGTAGATTTCAGCAAGGTTGGTTCCAACTCATCTGTGATAAATGAGAAGATAAGGCAATCAGTGCACACCATGACACTCTGTGCAGCTAGTTAGGCACACTTCAGAACTATTCAGGTGTGCTCACACGCTTATGAGTCTTGCATGGGGGGTGTCTCAATATAAGTACATCCTTCATGGTGGCCACTAGTTATGCAGGAATTGCCTCTCTAAGACTTAACCTAGGTCAGATATAAATAATAGATGTTAAGAGTTAGCTCTGCTATTGGGGCTCTGTGTTCCAGGCAGTGTATTTCCGTCTAGTCAAAAGAATTTATTTTCCCTTATTTTCTTGCATAGTTCCTCTGCTTGAAAAATGCTTGCAAAATTCCATCACACCTTTGCGGGGACCAGTTTGGGTCTCTAAGGGAGAAGGTTTCAGCCCCTCAGGAGCTAAGATATACATCCAAGGAGTTCTTTTGGCCTTGTACCAACGCTTAAAGTCTGCAAAAAAATACTATAAACAGGTGAGTCATCCCTCTTTAAAAACTGCTTAATTTTGTGTTTTAAAATGTACTTGATTGTATAGGAGCAATGATTGGCATCGTGTCATAAAAGACCTGTGACATGTATTTTGTGAGCTCAGTGCCTGTTTGAGAGCCAAAATGCTTCTTCTGTAATCCTGAAGCCAGCAATAATGGGACTAATTGTATCTGTCTTTTGCTATGGGATGTCATATGTCTCATCTTTTCTAGCTACATACTGTGCAAAGCAAAGGCAACTTCTTATGTGGAAATTCTATGGGCAGTTACTTTAAATAAGAAAATGAATAGCTCATAAATTATTTGAAGGTTTAAATGTTCAGCCTTTTTTTCTTCTTTTTCTTTTTTGCCCGGTATGCAATCAGAATTGCTATTGTAGAAGTTGGGCTAAAATGTAACTAATTGTATTCTGGGAAATAAAATGGTAAATTAACTTCATGTCAAGAGTAACTTACTCATTTATGCTTATTTAATTTGTATGTTTCTGAACCTGAAAGTATAGAAATAGAATTAATGTATTTGAATTAGGTTAAAGTAAAGTTTCTCCTCTAATTTCTAAATACCCATTCCATAATTGTGAGTGTGTGTGAAGACTTTGATATTTTTATAACTACCTACAGGGACTCTGACTTATTTCAAAGTAGAATTCACGTCGCAAAACAGAATGATTGATGACATTTAAAAAATAAAAATGGAGTTGCCATATTTTTAGAATCCTTTTTGCATTTAATCTTAAGTCAAGTATACATTTTACCATGTTAAATAAGAGCTAGGTTTTAAATTTCTAACTGGAAGGTTTCAGTTTAGAACTGGGCTCATTATCTCAGGTCACAAGCTGCTGAAAAATGAATATTTTGAAAGCATCATGCTATTATTCTCTGTGTACTGGGGGAGGGGAGGTGGGAATAAGATCCAGTCTTAGTGTTCACACAGCACCTCCTGCTGTCTGGTTGGGAAAAGAACAACTTGTATTGACTGGAGGAAATTCTTGAACTAAGGTATCCATAACTTGCAAGAAACAGCTTCCCGTAAGAAACTTTTATTCTCAAAATTCAATTGGTTTGCCTGGCTAATAAATTTCAGTGAATCCATAAATGAGGTGAATAATTATGATGGATAAGGCTATTTATTATAATAAATATGAAAATGTAAAAATCCAATCTTATTTTTAATACTTTGTTAAGCTGATATATATAAAAACAGTGTAAAATATATTTGATTGTATTTAGATTAAATTACTTTAACTAAAGTATTATTTAACCTTTATGATACAATATTATAAAATCGACTTAACCAGTTTAATTACAGTCATTTATTTGGTATTAAATGGTTTTATTCAACTAATTAGTTTAAAATTATTTAATGTTAAAGAAAACATGAGACCATCCTCCAATGCAAGGAAAGCACTGTTTATATCAAACCTAAAAAGAACATAAACATTTTCTAAATTTTATTAAAAGTCAGAGTGTCATATATTAAAAAAAACAACAGCTCAGAAAGTAGATATGGCATGCTTTTTTCTTCCACTGTCCTCAATATTTAAAATTTAAATAGAGATAAACATTTGTATGAGATTGAAAAATTTTCTGTGTATTGTAAGAAAAGAAAATCCTTTAAGACTTGCTGTTTTGAATGTAAAGATTTCGTTACTACTCAAAATTGATGAAAATACATTTATTAAAATGAATATTACACATACATATGAACAAAATTAACATTTTAGCACCTTGGAAATTGTCTATATTATCAACATTATGCCAAATTTAGAAATATTTAAAACCTTAGGTTCTTTGCCATTCATAAATATGCCTTTTTTTTTCCTTTCGCTAAGTTGTTATAACTTAAAGCTTTTCACTCAATAGCTTTAGCATGATATTTGTTTAAATTGTATTTTTAAATATAAAAATGGAGGAAAAGAAATAGATATTTGCATAGCATGCATTTCATGCACATTTCTATTTCTTTTAGATATTCTCAATTATATGTATTTTTGAATCTCTTTTCTTTTGTATTGTTATATTATGACTTAATTTAAAATTTTGCGGTTTAGAAAGATTACTGTAGTAGGACCATTATAAGGTCATAGAGTGGTGAAGTGTTAAACCAGGCCACGGTTTTGTCAGTAGGACTTAGCAAATATTCCTCTCAGCATTAATGAACTTTATTTGAACTGCATTTACTTCATTTGACCTTAGGGACAGCCTTTTCTATTTAGCTTTAGAGAAGATCGTGTTAAGAAATCCCTAGATAGAGAAAATGGAGATGGATGATGGTTCCAATTCTCTTAATGAATCTAAGCTTATAAATTTGAGGGTTATATAAACGCTTAATATAATTTCCATTTATTCCACTTTTGAGATCATATATAAAAACAACAATATTGTTTTGCTAGGATTCTCTTAAAAGGTAGTAGACTTTAAATTGCTGTTTTAGAATCAGGAAATTTCTGCTAAGTAAACTCTTATAATATAGCTTTAAAAGAAAAGTCAGAACTACTGTATTTATGTTTATGAACTTAGTCATTTTTTTAATATTTATCTTTAACTTGGCTATTATAGCATGCAACCGAATTAAGCCCATTTGTGTGGTCTTAAATATATACGGATTCATGTATATAAAATGCGATATATTTACGACAGCATAAAGTCACTTACTCTCACATTTTCACATTTATTTTCTTAAAAGTGGAAACATCTTAGAAATTGCTCAGGGCTAAGCAGAATCTATTTAATTTGTAATTTTTGAAGTAGCATAAATGAGTTCATATAAAATGCAGTTAACACTTTCGGAGACAGGGCCTGCCCCATCTCATTAGCATTCTTGCTATGTAGTGGTGCTGTTGGTGGGGGCGTTGAAGTAGGAATGCCATTGTGTCGAGTTCCAGTGTTTGGGGACAAACACTGCTGTGGAAGGAACGTGTGAAAAGGCCACAGTCCTGTCAGTGAATGAGGAAGGCTGTGCTTTCTGTGTGCTTCAAGCAGGGAAGCTGTCATTCATAGGCCTAACACAGCTAACCAGAGGCCAAAACACAAGCCTGCAGTACCTTTTAAAATGATATTAGTGATTTTTAAACATGATCTTCTTTATTTATGATCCTACATAGAGCTTTTAGTTGCTGTCAGTAAACAAAATATGTGTCAGTCTGTTCAGAAACACTGTAGAGATGCATAAAAGTCCATGGAACTGTGCCAGGAGGCTCTATAAATAATGATTTGGAGTGGCTGATCCTTAGTTCAAACGTGATTTTGGGGAAACATTCATTTCTGGGAATGTCTACCCAATTTTGATACTGCTTTGATTCTTTTTTTTGCTCCCGCAACCAACAAAATTCTTGGAGACTTTTGTGTAATGAATGCATAGCACACTTCTTTTAAAATACCAGTTTTTACAAGAGCTCATAAACATACAATTCTAATCATTTAAAGTGTTTACAGAATAGCCTAACAGTTGTTATAGATTGCATAATTTCTGAAATTCACAGAAACAAAGGATAGCTAATTATAATATAACAACCACAATCTTAATTATGAAAACACCACACACACACACACACACACACACACACACACACACACACACAAGAAAACCATAGTCTCTTTGGTAGCTAAGACATGAAAAAAACTTGAAGAAATTTTTAATCCTACTCCTGATTTTTAGCTCTTTGGAAAGAAATAACCAACTTTGAAATTAAATTTTAGCTTGTTTGATTATGTAAACAGTAAGACACCCTCAAATATTTCTTACAATCTTAGGGAATTTTCTAAACTTTAGTATTGTATAGAAAAAAATCCTGACAACTTCTATTTATATCTAAAGCTTCAGTTTTATTTTTATAATTTTAATTTAGACATGTGAACCTGGGTTATTTGTAACAGATCATTACTTAATGAAGTTTGTTAAAAAGTATAATTTTCTGCCTAACAGATTTAAATTTTTGTGATATATGGTCCTTTATGAAATTAATTTAAGTAAAGTAGTTTTTTTAATGCTATTATGCACTATTTCTAAATTCTCCATATTTGGTGCTTTGAGTTTAAAAATCTCAGGCAATAAATGTATTTTAAAATTAGGTTTCACTTTTAAAACTGTAACTGTACTGTAATTTTATAATTAGATGAAGAAATGACCATCCAACTTCAGCATATATTGATTTTGCAGTTTAAAACTGAAATGTACTGTATTACTTACTTAAAAATTAAAATACTAAGATTCCTTTAAAAAAACATTTTGCAATAAACAAATCATGTTAGCACTAAATGTAATTCAAGCATATTCTGCATAGTAATTCTATTATGAATAGAATTATATTTTATTATTGATTTGATATCTAAGTATCAAATTTACTGAAAGTGTAGTTAAAAGTGACAACTCTACCACATCTCAGAATTACTATTTTTTGTGGTGAGAACATTTGAGACATACTCTCAGCAACCTTCAAATAAGTAATACAGTACTTTGCTCTGCACTCGATCCCCATCTGTATGTACATTAAAATTTGGGCTTTTTTCTTGATTTACCCATCCTGTCTCAATACCCCAAATATTTCAGTTTTGAACATCTTTTTTTTTTTTTTTTTTTTTTAGGTTTTTTTTTTTTATTATTATTAGTTAAGGTATTACAAATGTGTCCTCATCCCCCCCATTAACCCCCAACCTCCCCAGTTTTGAACATCTTGATGTTCTTTGAAATCTTTGGACAAAATCGATAATATATAAATATTACTTACTATTAAAAACATTAAAGTTGTGTTGCAAATGTTTCAAAATGAAAACTGCTTCTGCAGGTTCTGAGAGGTAATTTTTTAGAATATTAGTTTGTTTTATAGATCGGAGTGGTGCATTTTCCTCTGAAACCAAGCTGCATTCTAGTTACTTGAAGTATTTTAAGAACCTTAAACTTGTGTCTTTTTCTAAGTGTCATGCTTTGAGCAGGCCTAACATCAGTTAAATGAAGTGAAAATTGCATTCTTGTCTTGATAGAGATGAAAATGGATTTCTGGTCATGAAATAGATGTA